AACATTAATAGACTATTTTCGTGCTCGAATTGTATGAAAATCAGTGCTGCTGTCATAGGTCAAGATATACAAGTCTTCTATTAACATGATGAGAAAGTCCGATCACGTCCGAGTGATGGTCAAGTTTGATCAGATTCCAAAATTACACAATAACAATACCTTTTCCCAAGTCAGCAATCATCAAAAATGTTACCTGATTCACCTTAATATCAGTATTTCATTATCTCCAATAAATAAAATCTATTAGTAGTTTTTATAGGATCCTATGAGTCATTACTTGCTATCATGATTTCTAGTGAATGACGTTGAATCGCCACCGTATCATACATGAAAGGTCTTCATGTAGTGAATTAGAAAAACCATAGCACCTAACCACAACTATCTATTTTCTATAGAACAATCAGGTTATGGCTTTCCTTTGACTCATAGAAAGTATACAATGTATGAGGACACCATGATGCATTGGCACAATGGGATAGTGTGCCCTGCAAATACTCGCTATCTATTGAACACTTAACATTCCATCAAATGTTTATGTTGAAAATCATTGCAATCGTAATGTGTGATGTGTGAATACTATTTTCATACCCTCGACATCATCACACTTATTGATAAGAACTACAATGGGAAGAATGAATGTTAGAGGTGTGATTAAATCAACATACAGAAGTCCTTTCCGAACTATTCAATCAATTTTTTTTATGGAATAGGAGGCAAACGAGCAGTCGGATCACCTGATGGTAAGCGATCAGCGCCGCCCATGGACACCCGCAACACCAGGGGAGTGTCGCGGAGAACCTAACGGGTAACCGGGGCTCCGGCTCGACGTGCAGGAGAAGGAACGGGGTGGTTTTTAGTCAGTAAGAGTCTGACACTCCCTTCCGCCTCACCCAGGCGGGAGAAGTCATTCGATGATTTTCCCCCTTAAAAAAAAAACACCAGAGAAGTCACAGACGCGTTGCCGGCCTTTTAAAAAAGAATACGCTCTTTTCTTGAAGGTTTGAAGGTCGTATCGGTGCGGAAATACCGCCGACGACAGGTCATTCCACAGTTTTGCTGTGCGAGGCAGAAAGTATCGTAATTTTACAAATGGATTTCACTGATAGCAGCAGCAGCAACAACCAGCAGTGCAACCAAGCTGTTTTGTTATTGTGGCGGACCGCGATCGAAGTGAACTCGATCGCGGTCCGCCATGTCATTGGTTGAGAATAATCTCGACGAATGACAGGGGAGAATGCGATCGACCTCACTTCGAAATTTAGAATTGTCAGATGTACAGAATAGCTTAGCAGCAACTTTTTTGTAGCAAAACTTGTGAAGCAATATCTAGAATCGAATTAGCGTTAGATCGGTCTAAGTAGTGATTATGGCTTCTGTTTCCTAACTTTAGTGCATACAGTACATAAACACACACTTTATTACCTAAGCTTTTGTTTAAAGGTTCATTCAAAAGATACAATTAAGTGGGAGAGCCATGCTTCGGCACGAATGGGCCGGCTCGACCGGAGTGATACCACAACCTTACAGAAAACCGACGTGAAGCACCGCTTGCGTTGTGTTTCGTCGTGTGAGTGAGGTTACCGGAGGCCCAATTACCCTCCCCTTTCCCAATCTCCCCAATCCCTGAATCCCCAACGATCCTCAAACTCCTAATCCCCAAAAGGCCGGTAACGCACTTGTAACGCCTCTGGTGTTCCAGGTGTCCATGGGCGACGCCGATTGCTTACTATCAGGTGATCCGTCTGCTGGTTTACCGGCTTATGCCATAAAAAAAATATACAAAAATATAACTGTACCTAATTACCATCCGTCAACCTTGGACCAGCAAAACAGTTTTTATAAAAATACGGCTGAACAATTATTTCCATAGTAATAGTGTGGTAATAATATAACAACAATAAAAGGAAATAGCTGTATGACCTAGGATGTCTGGTAATCTTTGTGAATAATTCTACAGTTTACGGTCATTAGTAAATTGAACTAAGTTCCGTTTTTTCTCAACCCAGCTAATGTCCAAATAATAAAACAATACTTGATATTAAATCGCGCTTAAACATAGTTCTGTCACTACAAATTTTAAGTAAAATGACAGAGATTGCACGATATTTAAGTACAACCTATAATAGGGTAGATGACTAATTTTTATTTTACTGTCCGTCTGGTAGATTATTTAAAAACATTAGACACGTACTTTTTATTTTCTTACGGAAACGAATAGTTTGAACGGAATAGAATAATATTGATTAGAAATATCGCATGACGTCACTTTTGAGTACGATTTATACTCTCAAAAGACGTAGCTATCTCCCACTCCTAAACTTTGATTAGTTTTATCACTTGGATAGTTTATACTTTTAGCAATACTTAGAAAATATTCTTATACGGCAAAATAAAAAAATACATGTCTAATATTTTTTCATTACCTAATACAGATTTTAATTTTCAAACCCTGTCATCATCCCTATTGAGTAGTCTTCCAGTATTTGGGCATAAAGTACTTAGATGTGCAGATGATCTCATTGCCCAGAACAGAAGAAGATGAATGTCGAAAGAAATGAGTGAAATCATACGAAGCAATAATGATATGTAGAAAAACGTTGCGGATGGCATCTGCCAGGATAAAATTGAACGAGAAAAATCAAAATACGCTTAGGAAGATAATGAAAACCAAGAATCAGAGAATGAATTGGGATGATGACAGGGTATGAAAATTAAAAATGTAATTAGTCCGTAAGTTAGGTAATTAAAAAATATTAGACACGTATTTTTTTTATTTTGTCATATAATAAAACAATACTTAGATAAAACGAATCAAAGTTTAGAAGTGGGGGCTAAAACGTCATTTCTACATAGGTATAAAATGTACGTAGAAGTGACGTCACGCGACATTTCAAATCAATCTATCGTCGAAAGTATTCGTTTCTGTAAGAAAATAAAAAATACGTGTCTGATGATTTAAAATAATCTACCAGACAGACATTAAAATAAAATTAGGCATCTACCCTATTGTCGTAATCACGAAATAAACTTCACCTGTCCACGTACAGTCCATTTAAAAAGTATCAAAGTTATCCCTAAAGACATATCTTTCGGAAAGTTGTCTGATACAAATCCTAGATGAACCGTATAACCTGGCCACCTCACACCATTCTAAGGTAGTGTCAAGTGCGAACAATACTGCGTCCATATCGGCAAGGCTACGCATACGCAACCCGGTCACGATCCTAGTGCCATCGCATCGTGAACACTCGGGCGATTCGTGAGCGCTGAGCGCCATTGCTGGCGATTCGTTTCACTTTTAAAACGTGCTAATGGCTTTATTATTATTTTATATTTATATGAACATGTTATGCATGTTTAAAGTAATGTTTGTCAGTTAATTTAAGTATCTACAGAATAATATTTTCAATGGGATTTAAATGTATATTTGAACTAATTAACATGACTTATTATGTTTTATTATTATATTATAATTACATTATAAACTAGGGTACCTATGTACGCGAGTTTAGTGTCAAAGAAATTCAAAAGATTTATGTGAAGACACCTCTCGTAAGACAAGGTGCTCCGTCATATGATTTTGCAAATAAATGATCTAAGAAGATTGTTATGTTAAGGTTAAATATTAAACCTAGAAGATTATTTATTATTCGAAGTAGGTACCTAACTACTCTACAAAGCATAACCTCTACAAATCACTGTCTACAAATTACATGACATAGGTACTCTACGAAGGACTTATTTTACAAATGACTTTGTCTACAAATATCTAATTTTACGAATATCAATGAAAAAGTTTAAATAAACACATCTGACATCGTTTGGCGTCAGTGCTACAATACTGAACCATGGCAAACCAACTCAACGTTCATAGAAATTGTTTTAATTTATTAATTTCAAATTAAAATACCATATCAATCGACCATCGTCATCTCCTTTACCTTACCACACACCACACCTTGCCCTCACTACAAATAAATAAAAATTCTGAATGACCAACATGTTTTTATTCAACCCAGGTATCAACACCTGCGCTACAGGGTAACATACCTGTATCCAATAATAGGTACATTTTTGCAGGATACCCAACTTTTGTTTTTATACATTGCTGTTAAAGTTAAGTTTGGTATTACAGAGTTGAGAGTAAACTGTGCAATGGAGAACGTTGTATAAAAAAGTTCGTTGGTGCTGCGTTCATTGTTGATGGTATTTGCCATATGCGGATCAGCTGTTATTGACCAGTTTATTATCAAGGTACTGGCTGTGTACGAAATACCAGCTGCGTGTTTTTAACGGACGAAATTACACACCACCAGTTGCTGCCATCTTTGTTTTTGTTTTGATGCTATAAATAGTTTAATTGCATATTTATTCTAGTAATAGGTATTATAAATGGGAAAGTTTTTATGTTTGTTTGTAACTCCTTCATGTCAAAATGGCTGGAGGGATCAAGATGAAATATTGGAACAAACCCTTGTTCCTACCCAGACCCTCATAATCTACCCAGATTATGCACTGAAATAACACAGCCTACCTTTTATCACACGGGAACGCGGGAGAAGCCGCTGGCAGAAGCTATAGGTAGTGGGTTAAAATTTAAGAGCTTAAAATTTTCTTCACTCTGGAGTTCAATTTACTTCTCGCGTGTTCTCAACTCTCTCATACACCCGTGTGTTGCAGTACAGTTGAGTGTCCATCGCGCAATTGTACTCACGGGTATACGAGAAACGCGCACCGTTTGGATATTTTTTCTGTGACGAATATTTTCAAGTTTGCAACCCGTTCTTTATTTGATTGAACAGAATAGTTAATTCGCTTTTCTATTAAAATATTTACCCGTGTGTACGAGAGGTGCGCGAAAGGTTAACAGCAATAACAATAATCTCAAGGGTATGCGAGGACATAAAAATATTAAAAAAAGGAGAAGAGCGGCAAGGGGGCGTGTCCGCTCGTGCCGCTCGCAAATCGCAATTGAGCGTTCCGCTCAATGCAGCAAAACATGGCCGTCACCGGCTCACCGCGAGTGCGCGCGTTAGTCTGTTGTCACTTGTCAGCCGCGATCGTACAACACATGATAAAATGCCGTCTTGTGCAGTGGTTTCGTGCAGAAATAGAAGCCAAGACAAAAACTGTAGAAGTCATGGCATCGGTTACCATGTGTAAGTACAAATATTTACAATATTTATCTTAAAAATCACGAAAAACAACAAGTTATTACTTTATTTCTATTTTTCTATATTACTCCGAATGTATTATGTCTACATTAATACATTGCTCTTTTACAGCCACCTTAGTGTAACACTGAGTAACTAAACCAGCAATGTAAAAGTAACTTAACGAAACGCTCATCAAGACGCAATGTCATGTCACATGGTGCGTCCGCTGCTCAGGTCCGCGTCCGCCGTATTAGAGCGAGATAGTGATGAAGTCGTGGAGATTTCGTCTCTCAAAGTCTATCGATAAGAGTGTCGACTGTAGTTATAATATTGTTCACTTGTTATGGTTATTTATTGTATTTTACTTTATTTAATTTATTTATTTAATATGCTCCATGCACAAAATGTACAAATAGGCGGACTTAATGCCGCAGGCATTTTCTACCAGTCTAACCTTTGGGTTATGCAGAGAAGAATAAAATAGAAATAAATAATTTATAAGAATAAATGGTAGGTGCAAGCGGCAAACAATAATTTTATTTAACAAATTAAAGATAAACTAATATATTTCAGAGATATACATAAATAAATAATTATAATTATAATATATACCTGCACATGAGTACAATATGCCTACATACATACATACGTCATATATACTTTACTCTACATGAATGAACCATTAGCTTTGTAAGCATTATAATGATCAGAATTGCATCTAGGCATAATTTTTTACTCGCAGAGCAGTCCCCAATGAAAAACCATATTATTATATATTATTTATTTTTATCAATATTCTTACACACATTAAAAACACATTACAAAACTTTATAACCCATTTGCAAAAATAAATAATTATCATTTCATCATTTCAATAGTTTTGTTGAGCAAAACGCTCTTCACTACGAGGGAGCCGACACGCCGCCTTGCCACGTGGTCATTGTCGTGTCGATATGCTGCCCAAACAGGACAGGCATATACGCTTCGGTCTCACTCCCACAGACGCCGTCGCCCCAGTTTGACGTCTAAAGCGAAGTGTACAGTTGTATACTCGTCGCCAATAACCCCATCATAGCCATCATCCCTAAAATCTCTATAAATTAGGCGAATGAAATAAAACTTTACAATGGTAGTATACTTTATGCTGCGTTTTTTTTATTGTACTTGCACCGTGATCCGTGAAGTCTGTGGAGGAGTGTTTTATCTGAATGTCACATACCTTGTAGTTGTACTGTTGTAGTTTGTAGAAACTGGAATAATGTGTCTAATTTTCCAACTTGTGAAGTAACTTATCACAAGTAAGTTATTGTTAGCGATTAACACAAAAATAATAACTATACGTAAAATAAAATTAAACTTAACATATTACGTTTATTTTTTGTTACATTTTTATACTGATGTTATTAGGCACGAGCGGCGTGCACCTACGAGGTGGGCGGCAAAATGATAATACATTTAAACTTACATTTAACCCAAAGGTTGACTGGGAGAAAATGCCATAATTATGGCATTAAGTCCGCCTTATGTAGCTGTACCTTATTTTGTGTGCATTAAAGTGTAAATAAATAAACAATAGGAAAGATCACAACAAAATCTACTAACTTAATTTGATTTAAGATAAGTGATATAAGTCCATATAACGTAAAAGTAAAAAGTAACCGTAACAGGTGAACAAAGGAGACTGGGTACTTCAGTCAACTCAATTTACCTATATAGGTGACATCACCTGGGTGAAATAGTTCCCAGTGGAATTGAAGACACCAAAATATGTACTGTTCACCTAGGTGATATCATCCAGGTGAACAAAGTGGACTAAACCTACGGTAAAATGTTTGTGCTTGCAAAATCTTTTAAATCATGTTGGAGTTCGTATGGAATATAGCATTAATAAATTGCCATCTAGCTTGTAATTAGGTTCTTAACTTCAACTCTAATCCTAATTCCACAGGAAATGGGGTGAGAAATTATAAATAAACGTTAATCAAATAGTAGGTACTTACATTATTCAAGGTTACAGCAATCTTAAATGCAGTACGAAAAGTAGGTTGTTTTAGGACGACTTCCTTCCATGGCGTGTAGTGCTCAATATTAGGACGGACACGGCAACAAGTGCACTACTTTTTTTTAAGGGGGCAAAATCATCGAATGACTGCTCCCACCTGGGTGAGGCGGGAGGGAGTGTCAGACTCTTACTGACTAAAAACCACCCCGTTCCTTCTCCTACTCTTTGAGCCGGAGCACCGTTAGGTTCTTCGCGACATCCCCACCACTAACTTCAAATAACAAGTTTGCCGTGTCACGCCTGAGTGCACTTGTCAGATCCGTATCTAATTTTTGTAGGGTAGGTAATAATAAATAATATTAGACACTGGCAGTATAGTCAACAAGATCATTTTGGAGACTCGTTTGCCAAAGAGGAAAAAAAATAAAATAAAATAAATAATATTTATCATAATGAGATATAGAAATGCATAATATAGGTACTAGTAAATATACAATTGATAACAATCACATTACACACATATCACCAGCCTATAAGTGGTCACTGCTGACCAAAAGCCCCTTCTCGCACGGAGAAGGTTTGAGCATTAACCACCACACTTGCTCAATGCGGGTTAGCGATTTCAAACTTATAAATAGGTATAAGCCCAGGTCTCCTCACGATGTTTTCCTCCGCCGTTTGTCAATGGTGTCTAAATAAGCTTAAACAGTACATATAACTTGGTAAAGCCACGTTGGTGCTTGCCGTTGGTAGGTTTCGAACCTGCACCCTCATGCATGAGAAGCGGGAGTATTAAACCTCCGAGCAACCACGACATACACGTTTAAAATCGTCTAAATAATTTTTTTACAAATTTTGACGCGGTTTTCACTTATAGTCAAATTATTTTTGGCTACATTCATGTGCAACGTGCAATATAGTGAAATAGGAAAACATTTAACAGCTTGTTGTTTTTCGTGATTCTTAAAATAAATATTATATTTATTTATTTAATGCTAATAACTACCATTACAGACTAATCCAATACGATAGTGCGGCCATCAGTCTCACAAATACTTACCTACAATATATTTCAGTACTTATTATGTAAAATACTATTGTTCCTATCTGTGGAAAAAACGAATTATTATTGTTTTTTGCAGGTTTCCGAAAGATCCAATAATAAAAGAGAAATGGATAGAAGCCTGCGGACGCAAAGACAGCTGGTTTCCAACGAAGAACGCGGTAATATGCAGTATACATTTTACAGAGGAGTGCTTCCAATTGACTAAAATTAGAAGACTTTTTCCGAATGCTATACCTACTCTCAAGTTAAGATTAGTTTTTGATAAGGTAAGCAACAATACAACAGCTACATAGCGGCTAAAAGGCTAGCAGATGCCACTTTAATCATTTCACACGGATTTTGGACTGTTTAATAACTAAAAAGTATTTAGTTGTGAACTAAAAAAGTGTACTACATACCAACTTGTTCATTTTACAGCCAGAAGAGAGCACAGACAACGTGAGAGTCAAGAGAAAAACTACCAATCCAAATAAAATGAGGACGATTCTGGAAAAGTACAAAATGCAAATTGAAAAATATAAAAAGGTGCTGACGGCAAAGAACTTGGAAGTAAAAAGCCTGAAACAGACGATCAGAAGATGTCGACACAAAATAAATACAATGGAGAATATTCTAACTACACTCAAAAATGAAAATGTTATTGGTGAAGACCATTTTTATTTAATGGAAAATGATAGTATTACAAAATTTAAAGTAATAACACCTACAACTTAAATAATATACAATTATGTAGGTAAGAATATGCCTATATTCTAAATAATTTACCAAGTTTTGATCTATAACGGTAAGTATTATGCCGCAACGTAAACCGTTCACATAAAATAAATTATACATTAAAATATATCTACACTATTCTATCATATTTATTATTTTTTATTTGTATTACATTTTTTTAACACCACAACGCCCCTCAAATATTGCCGCCCGGCCGCGTCATCGTCATTCGAAGAACGAACGAAACGCTTGCAAACTAGTTCTAGTGACGGCCGCCGAGTTATGTTTCGAGCGCTAGTAGCTCGAGTGTCACCGGCGTGAAAAGACGCGTATTGTGCCTTATCAGTTCAAAACTCTTTACGTAAAAGTATCGATGTTTTTGAATAAAATACACATAAAACGTAACTCGTGATAGTGAAAATTGTGTTCAAGTGCGACAAATCAAGTGATTCGACAATCAAAAGTGTGAATTTATCTGTTTTATCGTGGTTTTAAAACAAAAATCGCGGGTAAAACTTTTGTATTAACGGAACTGAATCGTGTCGGATTTTTGTGCTGATAGTATTGGGTTATTCGGTGAGTAGCGTTTTGTTATGGTGTTTAAATGTTTCATGGTGAAATAGCGGTAAAACCATGATTGTGACATAGTGAAAATAGTTCGTTGATTTTAATAGTTTAAACGCTGTATTGAGTCAGGGGCGCTGGCGCATACAAATGTAAATAATATAGATCGTTGTCTATGACAGTTTTTGAATTTAAAATTCGATTCCTTGACCTTGGAACTTGATTTTGTTTCGTAAGGTATACTTAGTTAATTTATTTTAGAAGAATAGGTACACATTGCGATAACCAGCAACGTAGATACATACATAGTGGCATTCCATTGTATAGGTAGGCAGTGCCTATCAATATCAGATATCAGAAAGCATCCACAACTTAGTAAACATACGTTCACATGGGCACACATTCAGAATAACGCAATCGTAGGTATTTCTATTGAATGTTACCAATCATGGTGATTTTCAAATAAAGATTGATTCGTCCTGCTACCTATCTAAAATAAAACATATCATACATAGGTAGTAGATGGTATTTACATTACTAATTATTATCTATAACCTACCTAACTGTATCAGTACCGTGTAGGTACCTACTACCAAACCATAAATATTGGCGACCTAAATATTTAGATGCAATGAGGTCTAGGACTAAGCAGGTTCCATTATTCATTTTACTATTTGTAGCAGGATCTTTTTTCAATCGAGGGTCAGGCTAGAAAGTTCCAAGGTAAACTTGAAGTACGGGCGCCCTTACCTATGCTCTTATGAAGTATGTAAACGCAAATCCGGTTTTATAACCATAACCATTGACGCATCTTTTTTCGAATTCCTTATACTGGTATTAGGACATAGGTATGGGTCAATTCTAACTACATAATAAGTTTAAACAAAGCAGTTTGGTAGTTTGATAACCTAGCTAAGTTTCTTTGTTATATATACACCGTGATATTTTAATGGTTGTTTTCCCACAGTAAAATGATTCTATTTTAGTAGTATAATAGATTGAGAAAGTTGTTTTTAATTTAAATAAAAAAATAGCAGTTTTACGATAGTGATACACGAAACTTGAAAGAAACCGCGAACCAATAGTACCGCCGCGACCGGCCACCGGCCGCTGTCATTGTCGCTCGCGCTTATCAAAAGGCTGATAACTCAGTATTTACTAACAAGTGATTTCCATTTTCCCTTCATACTTTGACGGGCTTAGGACCGTCGTAAATACTTTTTAACTACACTTACTAAACACAAACATAAAACAAAATTTAATCAAGAGATATTATCTTGTTTATTACTGAATTTGGGAAAGTATTTATGGCGTATTTAAAAAATGGGAATCAACGTATTTACAATGATTTTAATCACCTATCTTATTGTTTTATTTACAAATGTACAAGTACTTACACTTCCCGGTAACGGAGCAATTGTTCAAAGTGTAAGCCACCGCGTTCCACACACAATCGTGCACGTTTTAACTGATTGGCTTTCAATTTTAATAATGTGTCTCTGTCACGTCTAATCACATCAAAAGCGTCCACTATCGCACTTTTTAACGCGTCGCGAGTTTCGTACTCTTGCCGATACACAAGGCGTTTGAGATTAGACCACAAATAAAAGTCTAGTGGAGTAAGATCCGGGCTTCGTGGTGGCCATGGCACTGGCCCGCCACGACCGATCCAACGCTGGGGAAACACCGAGTCGAGGTGCTCTCGCACGGCGCGCTGATAATGCGCAGGGCAACCATCGTGCTGGTAATACAGGCCATCCATGGGCACTGCTAACGGAATGTCATCTAGTAAGTCCGGGATAACACTACGTAGCATTTGTAGGTACGTTTCACCGGTTAAGTGTCCTGTCACAAAATGCGGACCAATTAAGCAGCCGTTTATTATACCGGCCCACACGTTTACACTAAACCGCACTTGATGCGCACATTCCCGAATAACGTGTGGGTTATTAAAAGCCCAAAAATCATAATTCGCCCTCGCGTACAATTGCACCATAGCTACGTACTCCACATTAGAAAAAACGTAATGGCGATCCATTTTGGCGGCAATAATATTGTACTGCGCTTGCGTGGTTGCGCGGACGGCGTTCGCGGTGCGACTGGTGTGAATGAAAGCGATGCGAGGCGATGCGGGCCGATGCGAGTGACAGAGAGCGCGGTGGTTGCCTTTGTTGTTTATCGTGAGGCGATCCGCTCGCGCGCGCGTGCATTGCAGTTTATGCTGTATTACTTAGTCCGAGAGATTATTTTACTATGAACATTGATTTGACGTCACATTTTAGAAGAGAAACTATCGTTTCTCATGCTTTCGAGTTGATGATTATTTTTTTGAGTATATGAGGAGAAAAAAAAATATTTTTTCAAAAAGTAACTTGCATTATTCGATAGTACTACTAAAGGGAAATCGTTCTGCTGCGGGAAAACAACCATCAATATGTCAGCGTGTATAATTAAATTCTAAGAATACTGGCTACGCGCTAATACCTATCTAGTAAAGGTAGGTTTCTACGTAAGTATAGCTAACTAGATATGGCTTATCTGATATTACAGATCATAATCTAATCGTCTTGCAAATTTCATCCTGATTCCTTTAGCCGTTTTATTATTTATTTATTTACTAGCTTTTACCCGCGGCTTCGCTCGCGTCAAAAGGATAAAATGTAGCCTATGTGACTATACCAATACACACAGCGCCATCTATACCAATAATTTCGTTTTCCCACAAGAAAATCAATTTTTTTCGGGATAAAAAGTACCCTATTATTTAATCCAGACTTCTAACTTTACGTCTGCAAAAATTCAAAGCAATCGGTTTAGTACTTACGGCGTGAACAAAGAAACAAACAAACAAACTCACTTTCAGATTTATAATATTAGTAAGGATTTATTTTGACATTATTGAGCAACAAACATACATAGGTACCTACAAACTCACAAATTCGCATTATTTGTAAATATTAGAGATTCTGTTTCTCAACTGAATCAAGGTAAGTCATCAATCAATCAATGCAAGTAACGCCAGTCATCTGCCTCCAACAAGCGATGATCAAATATAGTTTCCGATTTTTTTATTTTATCTTACAAACATAGAATAGGTAGGTATTATGAAAACTACAGAAAAAAGATAGTACGCGTAATGTGTATAATTATCAAAATAAATAAAGGTCGCCTAGTGATGAGCCCCCAGGAAAGTACTCGAATGAGTCACTATTATTTCTGATACCTAGTTACCGATAAATAGTCATATAGGTATCGATTTAGATTCGATTCTTAAAATTAGCCTACCTACGAGTAAGTACCCTATGTCATGTCATGTGTCCCAATTAGGAACTCGTTTATTAAAAACTGCCATGCTCATTACAAAATAATTGAGTGACGTAAGTTTATTGAAGTATCGAATGAGATGACGGTACTTAATAATACTTAATAGGCGATTAATTTTTTAAATTCTTATTTTTTCTACAAAAATACCTAAATAGGTTTTTTGTAAAAATTATGGCTATTAATTTTCCTATAAATTTTTGAAATCTTGATTATCTCGATTCGAATGTTATAGTCGTCTTGAATCGGTACCGTCGCATCGCTGCGGGCCTGCGGACGGCGAGCATGGGTGGCTCCCCGTCCGACCAGAAACAGACCCGAGCGTACGGCGCGTCGCGTTCCGCGCGCGCCTCAAAGAGCCATCAGACCACCACAGATGGGGCCCAGTAGGGCCGATGCCGATTCGGAGTCGCGGAGAACCTAACGGGTAACCGGGGCTCCGGCTCGACGTGCAGGAGAAGGAACGGGGTGGTTTTTAGTCAGTAAGAGTCTGACACTCCCTCCCGCCTCACCCAGGCGGGGGCAGTCATTCGATGATTTTCCCCCCTTAAAAAAAAAAAAAAAAAAACCGTCGCATCGCTGAACCATACCTGTTTGTTGAGGTCACCGGCCGTGCCCGCACCGTGCCATAAGATAAAAAAAGTTATAAAATTAAGTAAATTAAGATAACAACGTTGGTCGACCCCGTTACTTCCATAACTAGGATTATTTACTTATGTTGCAATTTTTTTAGAGTTAAAACAACGTTTTAGGCAACTTTAGTGATAACAATCTAGGTAAGTAAATTAGGTGGAACAAGGTATCTGCTTAAGTTAAGTTAACCCAGACTTCACAGGAAAGGTCGGGAATTCGAAAAAAAAATATCAAAATTCCATTTTTACCGTGCTGTAGGTATGTCGTATGTTGCACCTGGCAGTTTATAAGAACATAAAAAAAAATGAAGACCCTAAAACTCCATTTATAAAAAGAATCACATTATCACATACAATTCAGGATAATAGTTAGGACGTTATCGACAATTCACACGCTTGTACATACATAAGTTGTAACTTTGTATGCACTTGCGCAGACGTGCGAATAGAACCGAGGTTGCTGACCGCTCTCCTTTACGTTCATAGCGTAACCTGAAATTATTGAAAGGACCCACAGATTACGCATAACTGGAATACCAAGCTCAGAGATTGCAAGGACTTGAGGAATACTATGAAACTTGAAAGCATGTGGGGTAAGCGAGGCCATGTTCAGTACTTACTGGTCGTCTTCTTGTGGTGCATTTCATACTCGTCGATTTAAGGACGAAAAGTACCCTGCTTTTAACTTAATCTTAACTAAGTACGAACGAGCAGACGGATCACCTGATGGTAAGCAATTACCGAAAATATTTACGCTTTAGGAAAGGGTCATATTATAGATAAGTTGTTTCTATTCGAGCAGTCTGTACAAACTGTTTTTATCCATATTTTTATCTGCCCAATGGTTACGTAGTGTAGCTTTGAATATTCTCGTACAAGTGAATCTATTTATAAATAAATTTCAGTCTTTATCTCTTTGATAAAAGTATTTTTTTAACTAGGAAGTGACGCAAATGCACGACATTGCGATATCTGAGCCCAAGTGATCTTATCTGCAAGCATCGATAAGTATTCAACCGCTGCAAATCATAGCCAAGTTTTCAAGTATCTAATATAACT